CAATCATGAGGTGCTGTTCCTAGAAATGGAAGGTGAAGTTTGAAAGTATAAGAAGTTCCAGGCAGACAGTTACCCAGTGTATAAATGCCTCTCCCTGTTCAAAAGAGACAGATGAAATTACTGAAGACTTTGATAAGAAAGAAATGCAATTTTTTAAGGAGTTGCTATTTTTTTTTTTTGCAGGGTACAATCTTCAAAGCAGCCCATACTGCAACAAGCTCCCCATTCACATCCAAAAAAGGGTGAATATGAGGATATTGCTGTAATCACTTCAGTATCTCACCAGCCCCTGCTCCTCCAGGCATCTGTAACAAACTACAGACTCTGCAAGTTGCTGGAGCCCTTCGTCCTCACTGCAGTAACCAGAACTGTTACCACAGTTAACACACAGTAGTTATTTTTTTGCAGGTAACCTTAACTGCCGCACGTTCACAAGACACTATAGGTGATGATAATGCTGTGTCAGCTGCTAGCTACTTTTGTTCCAATCTGTCAATGATACCATATTATTTTGTCTACTGGCTGATTAAAACCACAAGACATGAGGGCTGCTGGGTCAGGAAAGCTTCCTGGGCTTGTGGGTGAAAAAGAGAGACAGCTACTGAGATTTATTATTACACACACCACCACCACTGTCTCCCCAACCTCCCCATCCAAGGAAAACAGCAAATGCTTCTTAATCCACAGGTTCCATTTTAAACCCCTTTTATTCAATCCTTCAAGAAAAGCATTTCCCAAATCCCTATACTGGATCCTGGTAGCCTGAAAGAGCAAAGGGTCTCTCTATATGTGCACACAATTAGCTTGTAGGGTAGGAAAAGACAGATCCCTGCCAAGGTGGTTCTCTTCCAGCCTGACTCTGAAGGGAGCCACAGCCTTTCTCACTGATCTTTCTCCCTTTTGCAAGACCCACACCCTAATTTACCATCCATCAGCATGGAAAGAGATTATGGGGAATTAAGGGAACTAGACAAGGGACTGTTTATTACAAAGCTGGTAGGAATCTAAGGAAGATGCTGAACCCTGCAAGGAAAAACTAGCACTCATTTACAAACGGAACTCAGCATTTTTATTCATTGACTTCCTGCCAGTTTTGATATTTGCTACCACCAGAGAAGAGCATAAAAACACAGTACAACATTGTTAACCAGTTAGGAAGGCTGCAAGGGAAAGCGAATCCCAGTACAATTGCAAGTAACTTGGTGGAGTTTATAATTAAGATTTTTTCCAACAGATCAGCAATGAAGCAATAAATATGCTGCTGCACTGAACCAACAACAGGATTTTTTCACTGCATTTGTGGTTTATTGCATTACAGTTTAAAACTAAACGTTATCCATCATCATACATTTGTTCACCGACCAAGTAAATTACACTTTTTCATATGTTATATGCTAAATGGCTAAAATTATGCAGTAGCTGGACTAGACTAGGACTAGTAGAGGTAGATATTGAATGGGCAGTGCCAGACAGAAATATTTTGTAAAAGTACTTTTTGTCTTGTTATGAACAGTTGGCAGATGTAACATTTTCAATTAAAAACAACAAACATCTTAGGATGGCCATTCTAAGATGTTTTGGATTTTCTAATAGTATTTCTCTTGCGATACTCTTACAAACCCTTCGATATGGTCCCTTGTAAACTGGACAATCTTTGTCCTCTGAGTTTTCTGCCACAATTTACTTGAAGACCAACATAAAAAGCTAGAATCTTTGTGAACATACTACCATTTGCTTGTACCACTCTACAAGTAATACACAGTTACAGCTTCCTTGGCAGAGGAAGACTGCATTTGTAGTATTTACAGCTTCATTCATCTTTCTAGTAATAAAAAAGCTATTTCATACTTCTCTGAAATGGAATTTCTATTATGCCACCTCCTTATAACTTGCTTCAAGTCCCCTTCTGCCAAGCTGCTCTCAGTTGCTCCTTGCCATTCCCACTGCTGGCTGTGTGCTCTTGGGAAGGAATCTCTGCCCGAAAAAGGCAGTGAAACTGGTGTTTGTAGAGGGCAGCCTTCATTTCCAGGAAATGTTAATCATGACACCACAACCATGTAAAAGCGTACACCATTTGCTCCTTACAGCACCCAAACACAGTTGACAACTGGAACACTCTTGGAAGCAAGAGTCTTTCCCCAAGCTCAATAACTGTTTTCCTCCATCTGGAACAGCTTTTACTAATGAGCTCAGACTGCTTGACTCCTTACCAACATAACTGTCTAATCATACCATATTTGCATTGTTTTCCTGCACAGAATCCCAAATAAGTGTACTATCAGACAAGTGTAACTTACTTCCACATAGTTCAAGCTATTTTACATTATCACTTAGGTACCTAAGTGGTACCAACTGTTTATTTAGATCAAACTTTCTTAGGAGGAAAGACAAGGGGAAGATTTCAAAGCTAGCTACTACCTACCCAGTTGTGGAGAATGGCCCATCTTCTTCCCCCACCGTAAGACTAAATAAAAGACCAGTACAGAACACTTACGGAAACTTCTAAAGCCACCATGAAAAGGGAAAAATAAAAGCATTTTAATACAGGCCTGTTGAGCTGGATTGTTGATAGCTATCAAGTGGTTTTGTTAGCATTAGGGGCACACGTTCAAAGCATGACTGTGGTGGATGGGATGCCAGCACTACAGGAACGGTGGCACCACTGCTTGAACCCTCAAAGGCAGCATGTTTGACAAACATCTTAAGTTTTCTTATTTGAACTTGCTCCCGATACTGAAATTGTTTTTCCATCTATGCCTTCTCACCATGATCTCACCCTCTCATCGGTGTTTTCTTTCTAGAAAGACAATTCAATCTGGCCAAGGGTAAGGTGCTACAGCAACTTCTAGGGCCTGCTGTGCAGCTGGAACACCTCCAGACCTGGAAAAACAAACCAAACACTAAAGGAAGATCTAATAGACCAGTTATACATACCTCATCTAGCCCTAGAGAGGAAAACTCCCTGGGAAACCCGGAGTTTCCTCCCTACGTCAGGAGAAGAACTGAGTGATAAACTTAATTCTGTATTCTGGCTGACAAACCACACATCAGAACATGATTCCTTCCCTAGAAACATGGAAGTATTAAGACCCCTACTGAAAAAAAAGCATAACCATAGAAGAACATAGAGACTTTTAAGGCATTAAAGATGCAAAGAAATAAAATGAGTTACTGAATAGATAATTCTGAGACTACTTTACCTGTTTGTTCACACATAACACATGTCTGAATGCTCTGGTCTCCAAAATGGAACGAGTACCTCCCCTAGCATCTTGGGGCAAACAATCACTTTCAGTTACAATTTAAGTCCACTTCTGACTCCAGCATTGCTTCATGCCATGTGCATTTGCACTATCTACAGCATCTAGGGAAAACCTGTCGTTTTAAGTTTTTTTGCCCCAGGAAGATATCCATGACATATGTCACCACTGATGGTGGAAACATCCTTATCCAGTGAAAATCATTAAGCACCTAATGCAATCACATCATTAGTAAGCCCATGTTCTAGGTCACTCTGAGCACAACCGCAATCCCTCCTCACTTGCTCTGGCAGCCAAGCAGGAATGATAACAATTCCAAAACCAAGTTTCCACTGCAGTGTGCCACTCTGTGCTACTGCTTCTCAAGACTCAATGCATTGGACTGTAACTTCATTTTCATCTCTTAAAAACTCTTCCACAGAAGTTAGCATTGCATCTAACAGCAGAGATGCAAAGGGAAAGGAATAACAATTCCTTTGCCAATTAAAAAACCTTCTTCAGGTAAACTCTTGTCTTAGTTTCATTTCCTGAAAATGCAGTCCTCTGCAAGGGGATGAGGAACCTCTCTAATCCATAATCATCTGTGAAGCACTCAGGATGCCTTTCAGCAAGGTTACGAAGAAGTGTCCTTGGGGAAATCACAATAAATGTGACATGGAGGCTTCTGGAAGGCCCAAAGAAATAGCCTCTTCTACTTGCACAATGAAAGATAACAAGCAACGTCTTGCTTTTCTATTTTAACACAAGAACAGGCAGTGAAAAAGAAAACAATCCTGTTTATAGGCAGCACCCAAAAAACAGAATTTGGAAAAAAAAAAATATTAAAAAATTGCCTGATGCAGTTCACAATCTGTTAAAAAGAGTTAGCACTCATCTGCCTCCAGCTAAGCATCAGAAGCCAAGAAAACGGCAGCAATACTCAAGAGGCAAGGCCAAAAGCTCATAGCTTGTGTAGGCAAGATTGAACCATCTTCAGTAGTTGCAGAAGACATGCAGTCCAAGAATCTCAGGCTGCAGAAAAGACTGAGATCTAGACGTAGATACCAGAGTCAATAAAAGGCTCTATAGGTATTCTAGCCCCTAAAAGCCCAGCAGAATAAATACACAAATATAGCAATACAACTTACATTTCTGACATGAACTACACTGCAAACATACACAACAGTCTAACCATGAAAAGAAAGTGGTGCTGAATATACAAGAAACAAAGAACCGTTCTTCTGACACTTGGAAAACTACAAACCCCAGCATGTCTTCCTGGATTTCTTTACTGTATTTGTCAAATCACTGAATTCCCATTACATGGAAGAGGAAGGCTGTGTATCCACGTGACAGATACTCTGTAACTGAACTCCTGCAGCAAAGAAGGCACTCACTTTATAAGCTGTATTTTATTTTCTGCTCTGTTTTTCATATGAGCCTATAAAAAAAACACATTTGAGCACTTATCTATATTATTAACAGAGTAGACTTGTAGACTGAAGCTTGACTTGGAAAATAAAATTCAACGTTAACATTGGTGGAACTGAAAAGCCAAGTAGTAAAGCGTTCTGTGTTATAGGACTTCCCAGACATTCAGTATTTACATATAATGCATTTGCACTTTATACTCAACAACCATCCGTCAGCAGTGACATTATTAGTGGAACTGGACAGCACAGAAAGCCAACCCTGAGCTGCGCTCTAGTGAACCCATTCATTTCCAAAGTACAACAGAGATTGGTTTAAATATTCACACAATTGTTTTTCAAAACGTTTTATTGCATTATATTTGGTACCTTATGTTCGACAAAGGAAATTACATCTGTAACTGCAGGAATAAGAAGCTGGTCTGTTATTGAAAAAAAATCTTGGGCCCCTTAAACATTACAAAGTCTTGGGCTTGCCTGAAACAACTGAGCAAGAAATATATTCTTAGAAATGTAGGGCTTCAAGTATTACAAACCTGTGACACTGTGGAAAAGTTCCAGAGGTATCTAAACTGCAGCACTTTTTTTTATTTTTTCTGCATAACGTGAACAAGGCCTGCTGAGGTTTTAAACTATTAGTCTCTTGATCAGTCAAAATGGTAGTCAGGAGTTCTTCTCTTTGCAACTTCAAGCCATAGTATGTTCTCATTCTGTTTTCACTCTACGTGAAAAATACATGCTATCTAATTAGTTGGTGCCACATCACAGTGCATAATTTTATTTGGTTCTTGCATTACAGTTTTGAAAAGTTTGGCCAACCTACGCTGATAGGTTCATCTCAAGAACAGCAATGTTGATTCTCCCCACCCCGCCCCCCAGGTTTAATTCAAAGAGAGAGTTTTAACTGGTTCCTTCAGTTAAAAACTGTGGTGCAAGAACACCAAACTGATCCTGTACAGTGAGCTTCAGAGACACAACAAGCTTATTGAACACACTATGTTTCTTAATTCTGCTTGATATCCGTATGTCCCAGCATCCACAACACAACACGTATGTTGCGGGTTTCTCTGTATGTTCTGATTCACATTGTGTACTTCTTCCTATGGACAGAATCATCCCCGTATCAAAATCAGTCAGATGCTAAAGCCCCAACAACTCTTTGTGCTCAGTGAAAGAATCCAGTGCTAAAACAGCGTTTTTGCTGTCTGAGATAACAGTAATCTCACAAGACAAATTTAAAGTAATATTTCTGCCACACACCTGCTCTGAGGGCTGTACACCTCCAGATTTCATATAAATTAGTTTAAAAACATGGGTAGGTAAGGAGAAGGGGTTTTTTTCTTCAATTTCAGCAGCTTTTAATTTTTAAGAAACCGAACAACCTATATCCAGTAATATGTTAGATATTTTATATATATTCTTTGTCAGCAGGATAAAAAAAAAAAAAAGTAAAACTATTTGAAGGCAACTTTTTTTTTTCCTTCTGTTCTCTGTGTAAGTTAGAACAATTCAGCAGGTGCGTGACAAAAATATTATACACCAGATATGGTCCAATGTAATTTTTTTTTCCAATAAAGTTGTTCATATTTCATTGGCCAGTTCTTCAGGTTCTGCAGAACTATCTCCGTTAACTGTGATCTTCATATCCTCTTCATAGCCAGGGGGCATGAAAGCCAAAGCATAAGGGAAAAGCTTATGACAATTTGCTCTGTAAGTTTCAGATGCTTCTTTACAGTCTCCAAGGCTACCATCACATAAAGCTTCTAATACCTCCATACAAGTCTAATTAAAGAGAAAAATAAAGAAGTGTTATGGTTTCTTAAGCATTCATCTGAACACTCACAAACCAGAAATACAACACTGCACAGAAAAAAACCTCCAAGTATTGTTTGCAGGTATCTGTCAATATCAACATTTTTTTAACTAGACACAGCATGACATACCAGTGTACTCTGATTTGAAAGAATGCATTTTAAAGAGAGATTTAAAAAAAACACTAGAAATCTCGACTTAAATTTAAAATACTAATTTGTCACCTGTTCCTTATTTAAAAAAAAAAAAAGATACCGACTAGTTGGCAACCAAGAACCAGACTTATTTGCAACTAAAAGTGTTTTTTGGGCTTGTAGTCTCCAGCTGCCCCTCTACCTGCAATCTTAGGATACACTAAACATTTCAGCAATAAATACCACACATTTGAATCATGGTGTTCACAAATAAAAACCATTAATGCAAAAATTACACTATAATTTCCTAATAATGATTTTTTGACCGTGTTTTCAGATAGAATTAGAAGAATTGTGGAATATAATAAAAATAGCATCAGCTGAATAACCATAATTAGATGTGAAAACATTTCTGGCAGGGGAAAAAACCCTGCTTTTAAAATTAAAGGATATGTGACTTACTGAAGTGTCTCTGTAACTAGTGAATGAAACCAAATTACTCAGATATTATCACATCCTTCAGCTGTATCTGCAGTTTCACATCAATTTTTGTTCGTGATTTAGAATTTAAAAAAAGGAAATTTCCTGTTTTTTTCAAGTTGCATTCCAAGCATGAGAAAGAGAACTACCGAGCTTCACTGAAGCCTGGCAGCATTTAACACTCGTTCAGGTCCTGTATGGCAGCATTAGCAGAGTAAGCCAGTCTTCTTCCACTCTTCTGGTCTTTACTATAGCTTGCATTTGTTCTATGTATTGAGATTGAACTGTACTCTGTCCTCCTGCTATGGGGTTATGAAGTTCTCTCCAACAACCCCTTTTCCTCATGTTAGCTCTCTGCAACCCTGGTGTCCAGAAGGTCAAATATATCTAGATTTATGCCTGCAATGTGCCCTGAGACAGCTGGTCTTTACTAAAATGAAGTGTATTAAGTTTGATCTCTCTGCACGTGAGAGTGCCTTTCAATGAATGCCCTGACTCCTTCAGATTCTCACTTTCTTAGGACACCTCCAGTAGAACTCCAACTCTTACTTTATGTTGGCACCAAGAATGCTTAAATTGAGCTGTTTGTCTTACGACGATGCTACATGCATCCTCACTGCCAAGTCAGTAAACGTTTCTTGTAGCTCTACCAAGGCAACACCTCTAAAACAACCAAGCAATTTTGGTTACGTTTTAATCTTTCCCCAGTTCCAATTCCCATGAACCCCATTCTCAAGCAAAAAACACAGCTATGAGGCAAAAAGATTGATACTGAAGGCAATGCAATTTTTTTTTCTTTTCTAAATTTTTCGATAATCTACCTTAAGGTCTTTGAGACTGCTCAAAGAGTAATACACACAAAAAACCCCAACAACAAGAAAACAGTTTATGAAAACTGCTAAATATGTAGTTAGGATATAAAAGACATGACTTGTGTCCCACAGCCAGATCAGCTGGAGAAAGGATCTGAATCTTTAACATCCTAAGCAAGTTTATAAATCATGGCAAATTGTCTTTTCTTGCCTCTTTTTTCCCCTCCATTTAATCAGAAAATTCTACAGTGAACTTAAAATCCTTCCCAGTTAAAGCTCTGCTGAACCCAGTATGTTTCTCAAAGGGATGGGTTTTTTTCTGAAAATGCTCATTTTTGCTCACAAAAGAATTTTACTAGGAAGTTCACCAATGTTACTTGCAATAGATCTAAAAAAAATTAGTTTACAGACATTAAGAGCACAATAAAGAAATAAAGTGCCAGTGGAACTGAGAGAAATGAAATGTCCTGAAGTTCACTCGGCCTGCCAAGGCATCTCTCGCATAATTACATGTGCTGGACACTCTCACAGTGATGTTAAAGGAAACGGTTTGACAGGGATACAGAAATCGTTTAGAAAAAAACAGAATAAAGAAAAGGACATTTTATCTCTTCTCTGCTTTGTCAGTTAAGGTTCTGCCAATGTGTGGTCACAGGAAGAAAGAAACATGTTTATTAATTGTTTATAAAAAACATCTGAAGACACTAAAAAAAACCCTCAACAATCACTTTTTCTTGAAGACTTTGAGTCTCAAGTCAGAACTCATGGCCCCGCTAGATGAATTTGGGGGAAGGAGGGGAATGGTGGCAGTGGCATGGGGAGATTATCCATGACCACCAGAATGGAACAGTTTCAAAATTTGGTAAGCTTTTTACTTAACTACATAACAAAGCCAAAACGTGCATATGCATCTCCTATTAAACCTAAGATAACTGAGGCAGCTTGCAGGGGGATGAACACAGAAGGCTTTCATGGAGTCTGAGCCACTCCTAAGTTACTCTTTTTCTTGTGAACAGTTGCATGTGTAACAGCTAAACCTCGGGCACCTTCCTAGTGGGGAGCTTTAGCTTCTTTTGCCATGTGAATTCTCTTGCATTTAATAAGCTTTGCCATTGCCCACGGCAGTAACATGGTTTCTGCTGCTATTTTCATATTATGACAAAACTAAATTAATTTACACGTGCAGAAAGAACATTTAACGTTTCAGTTCAGATGAACCTGATGCCCATTTCTCTCACATGACAACCCAACCTCCTTACCATAAGGCACAGCAATCATTTCAGCTTCCTCTTACAGCAGAAATTTGTGTAAAGCTTCCACAGATTTACCAAAAGTTGTTTAATATTTATAAGCATCTATTACCTGAAGATTTCTGTTAATGAGGGTTTCATCCAGGGCCATTGCCAGCTCCACTGCCCTTTTCTGACTGGAAGGATCTAAATAGTACATCATTTTGGCAGCTACAGGAGGAAAAAATAAGCTTCATCACCCAGTGAATGACCAAAAGCATCTTACAGACAAACAAAAGAGATAATGACCAAAAGGGGATACTGAACTCTACAGCAGTAGTTCAAAATGGAATCACTGGGAGAATTCAAGCTTGACATCTGAGGATACAGAAGGTTAGCTTTAAGTGTACTATTCAACACCAAACAAAACATTACAACAGCCAGGCATCATCTAAACTCAGGGTAGAAGCATTTTGCAGTCTACCATGCAATCCCAGGCAGCGAAGGTAACAAATCAGACCTACTGCAACACACCACAGTTCCCTTCAGCATCACTGCTTCACACAGAAACCAGGGCACAGAAAAGATGTGCATACAGAGCTCTTGTTACAATATGGTGTCAGGACACAGTTCCAAATCCCACAGCACAGATGTAGTTTAAGAAACTTGATGGCAGTTAAGATGCAGAAATAAACTTTCTGGGTTTTGTGGCCAGGTCCAAGCCCTGACGGAGCCACAGCAGTACTGCTGCTCCCCTGGGTGGTCTACATCCTGTTTTCCATGTGGTACCCACTGTCACACATGGTGACTATTGACAGAGCCTTTCATAACAGGCTACCAGCATCACCTAAGCTCCTCTTGTTAGGCAGACCACTACCTCTGGGCATTACCTGGCTTGCTGAGCACACAGCCTCTTCAAATACATGTATAAAAAAAAGAAAGGAAAGAAAAGAAAAAGAAAGAAAAAAACTGAAAATCACAAACAACCTGGTGGTCATGTGATCACAAAACCACAAACTGAGAAAAGAAAAGCATTCCTGATGGAAAGAG